TTTTATAATCTCCACAAATTCTTATAGAACCATCCTTCTTTAACACTGGCACAATGGGTGTCGCCCAATCGGAATAGTCTACCTTCTTTATAATGCCATTAGATTCCAATCTACTTAGCTCATTTTCAATTTTGTTCCTCATTGCATAAGGTGGAACTCTAGCTTTGCAGTATCTTGGATTTGTGTCTTTAATGCTTAACTTCACTGTTCTATCATTTAGTAATCCTGGATTACCAAAAACACATTTATTTTCAGATATAACTCTATCTAGTGAAGTAAGACTAGATTCTTTTACATTCTTCAATGAACAAATACTCTCCCAATTTAACTTAAGATCACTTAACCAGTTCCTACCTAGTAATGGCGGTCCATTTCCTTCAACCACAAGAAGAGGAAGTTTAACACTTTGACCATTATAATTTACATGAACCATACACTCTCCTATTACCGGAACATTGTCACCAGTGTATGTTGTTAGACACTTGTGACATGGCTGTAGAGGCACTGATCCTCCTGTGACAGTGTCAAAATCTTTCTTTGTTATGACTGTTAGAGATGCTCCAGTGTCAAGTTGGAAGCTGATGCTCTTACCGTTGATATTAACTTGTACATTGATGGGAGCATGACTTATTGATTTCACAGAGAACAGGCTGAAATCCGGCTGCGAATCAGTTTGAGCATTTTCACAGGTAGAGTGGTTCATTGGTTGGGTTAGGTAGTCTTGGTGAGAGTTAACATAGTGCTGCTTTTGGTTGCGGTACTGTCTTGACTGGCTAGATTTAGCAACAGACGAAGACTTTGCAAAGCAGGCCTTGGCAATGTGACCTTGCTTACTGCACTTATAACAAGTTGCAGACTTGAACTTGCACCGATGAGATGCATGGGGACCTTTGCATCGATGACATTTTTGATAATTATTACTAGATTTAGATCTAGGATTTGAACGAGCAGGTTGTTTAGCATAAGTTGGAATGCTCTGATGGGGTTGATGTTTGTTGACTAACCTGCTGTTTACTGCATGGATCCCTGAAGGCGTAAGAGATTTCGCCGCATCTGATGACTGCTGGAATGACATTGCAAGTTGTATTGCTTTTTCCAATTTTAGATCTGACTCGAGCAGCAACTTTCTTTGAATATCAGGGCTGTTTACACCTGTCACAAACTTTTCACATAATCTGTCAGACAGCGTGTCGCCGAATTCACAAAATCTACTTAAATGACGTAAAGCAGCAACATATTCTGATATTGACTCGTTTGGTTGACGAGTCCTACTGTCAAATCTAGCTCTACATAGAAACTTTGATGGCACAGGCGCATGGTGGTCTGTTAGCAATTTGCTCAGCTCGTTAAAGCTCTTGGTAGTTAGACCAGCTGGTGCGCATAAGTCTTTTAGTAGCCTAAATTGTTGAGGCCCTATGACTGTTAACAAAATAGCTCTCTTTTTGGCTTCTATCGTCACGTCGTTAGCTTCTAGGTAAAAGCTTAACCTCTCTAGGTAATCTTGAATGATTTCATCATTCGCATCAAATTCTTTTATTTGGCCATACAGCGCCATAATTCTAGAAATAATTAGCTAATAAGCTCTAGCAAACCTCTTTTTTGCGTAAGTAGGTGCTCTTTCTAGTAGATGTTTATCCTTCGTCGCCAGTTATAATAGATTGACGACAGAAGCCTGTGGTTTTATATAACACGTTTATTGGGTCTAATTACTTCATGATGGTAATACCAGAGAGGACGGAAGGAAGTACCCAAGGGACATCACTCAAGATAACAATATTATAAATATAACTAATACAGAAGAGTGAGTTCCCTTGACCTCACAATTATTTCAATCTATTACAGGGTTCAAGTCAGTAGATCGTCCCTGAGTCCACCCAACTCTGATGGGTAGGCCTACCTAACTCAAGTTAGGGAAAGTAAAGGTCGCTGGGCATAGTGCTGACAATACTATCTCTTCATATGCCGAGGTCACAGAAACAACTCTACTTCACTTGCCCCATAGACCGTGAGGTTTGAAAGGGAAACTTACTTTTTTACTTTGGTGTTGGGAAAAAAAAATGCATAATTAGCGTGGGTTGATCAAGTGCAATGTGGTAAGTAAAACTCAGACATTTTTAATGCTGCCTTTTCTTTATTTTATACACTGAACGTACTTTTTACTTTATCGTATATAGATCTACGAAGTATAGAGAAAGTCTTGTACTTTTACTCGTGCAAAAAAAAAAAAAAAAAAAATCTCGACGTTTTACACCTCCCTGAGTCGGAAAAACATATTTTTGCAATCTTGTCCGTATGTCTATGTGTGTTTGTGTGTGTGTCTGTATGTGTAAACATGATAATTTAGGTTGATAAAATTTCATATATAAGTATTTTATCAAAATCGTAGATCCGTATCAACTTTTGAGCGATTTCCGATAATCGGAAGTGGTACTTTTTCTACTTTGAATTTGTTTAAAAGCCTATAACTTGAGTACTATTTCAGATAGATAAATGAAATTCCACATGTATGTAAAAGATCTAATCTTCTACCTTCTGTCAAATTTTGAGTAGTTTCCGTTGACCGGAAGTAGTAATTTACGCTATTTCCGAGTTCTCAAAAAACGCATGTAAATTTATAAAGCACTAATAATATTCCGCACTATTATGCACATTTTGTTTTGATGTTTGCATGGTGGGCAATTCTTTTTTCCATTTTTAGTTTAAGTAATTAAAAATCATGTCTATATTCCGAGTTGCCATCCCACGTAGTGTTATATAAGAATATTCGAGAAAGTTTAGGGGAGATCACTCCATGTTTATTACTAAATATTATTTGTAATCAATTAAAGTTTACAAGCCGCAGCTAAATGTCCTCTATGTTTGCTTCTATCTTTCCATTTGCAGATAAGCTTGGGGTATTTTAGTCTTCCACTAAATTAAATCAGATTAGTCCGCGGGCGCCTCGACAGGGTTCGATTTGGCGCCCTGGGCTATCCTGTGAGCGCTATGGTGGATAATATCGTTTCAAGCAGTGCAATAGACTATGGTTAAGAAAGGTTACTTTAACCTCTAACTGAATCGAATCCGGGCGTCCTCCGGCGCCTCGACATGATATTATTGGCGCTCCGGGCCTTCCCGTGTTCGCTATGGCGCTTACGTTCTTTTAAGTGAGTGTAAAAGGCTATGAATAAGTTGGGGTACTAAAGTCGTTTACTGAGTTGAATAAGGCGGTTCCGTCGGCGCCCCAGCATGGTGCGATTTGGCGCCCCGGGCTAGACTGAGCTTGTCGTGTTTATGTTTGCATTTAAGCTTGTGTTTATGTTTGCATTTATTTGCATTATTTTGAGTTATTGTTTTTGTTAGGTTTCCGTATGCTTCTATTTGTATTTACGTTGACCGGAAGTAGTAATTTACGCTATTTCCGAGTTCTCAAAAAACGCATGTAAATTTATAAAGCACTAATAATATTCCGCACTATTATGCACATTTTGTTTTGATGTTTGCATGGTGGGCAATTCTTTTTTCCATTTTTAGTTTAAGTAATTAAAAATCATGTCTATATTCCGAGTTGCCATCCCACGTAGTGTTATATAAGAATATTCGAGAAAGTTTAGGGGAGATCACTCCATGTTTATTACTAAATATTATTTGTAATCAATTAAAGTTTACAAGCCGCAGCTAAATGTCCTCTATGTTTGCTTCTATCTTTCCATTTGCAGATAAGCTTGGGGTATTTTAGTCTTCCACTAAATTAAATCAGATTAGTCCGCGGGCGCCTCGACAGGGTTCGATTTGGCGCCCTGGGCTATCCTGTGAGCGCTATGGTGGATAATATCGTTTCAAGCAGTGCAATAGACTATGGTTAAGAAAGGTTACTTTAACCTCTAACTGAATCGAATCCGGGCGTCCTCCGGCGCCTCGACATGATATTATTGGCGCTCCGGGCCTTCCCGTGTTCGCTATGGCGCTTACGTTCTTTTAAGTGAGTGTAAAAGGCTATGAATAAGTTGGGGTACTAAAGTCGTTTACTGAGTTGAATAAGGCGGTTCCGTCGGCGCCCCAGCATGGTGCGATTTGGCGCCCCGGGCTAGACTGAGCTTGTCGTGTTTATGTTTGCATTTAAGCTTGTGTTTATGTTTGCATTTATTTGCATTATTTTGAGTTATTGTTTTTGTTAGGTTTCCGTATGCTTCTATTTGTATTTACGTTTGTGTTTGCTTTTTTGTTTGTGTTTGTGTTTTCTTTGTGTCTGCATATGTGGTTGGGTTTGTGTTAGCGTTTGTATTGTTTGCTTTTTTTTTTTTTTTTTTTTTTTTTTTTTTTTTTTTTTTTTTTTTTTTTTTGTGGTTAGGGTTAATTCGAAAAGTAATATATTTCCTTAACCCAGGCATTGCCGGGTATATGCTGATTACTAATAGTCAGTGTTTCTTCCAGACTTTTTTGTCCGGGGGCACTTGAAATTTCCGAAGGGGGGGGGGGGGCGGACTAGATTTTTAGGAGGGGTGAGCGCCGGACACTGTTAAAGCTATATATTTTCTATATTCATTCCATTTCGTTAGTGGGATGTGGCGGGGGGGGGGGGGGGGCGCAACTATACAACTATACCCCCCACCCTTCGAAAAGATGCCTGGAAGAAACTGCTAACAGCCTAATAGGGAACCAAAAACATTCTGCGTGTGGGGGGGGGGGGGGGGGGCTTTTTTTCTAGCTTTGCCAATTAATAGTTCCTCCCCTTCTTTAGCCGCAGCCTTTTGCTCCTACGTAGATTCAATAGAATAATCAATAAGTAATAATATGTATAAGTCACTATAAGCACTTATCTGAAATTATCCGCATTGATACTATTATTAAAATAATTTAATATTTGGTCTTAAAAATGGGATACTAATTTTTCTTCCTAACCGCACGTTCTAACACCTACGTGAGAAAAAAAAACCTAGATCAGATCTAGTCTAGAGACAATAAAAACTTTAAAAAAGGCTAAGTTCATTTTTGCTATTTACTATAGATCTAGATCTAGACTATATCTAGATCTAGATCTAGCTCTAGTAAATTAGACACTTGGGTAAGTTTCAGATAGAATTAGACTATTCGTAATAGATAGATATTTATATAGGCCTAATAAATACAATATTATTTATATTAAAATTAGGTAATCTATCGTTTTGGGTACGTAAAATCGCCCGCGGCTATTTATGTACGAAAACGTTACCTCATTGTCAAGGCTTTAATAGAAGTATATTGTCATACTTTTGTGTCAAATATTATAGATAAATGAATAATAAACCTAAATCAATGGCTAAATATATCGATATAGGCCAGAAATTAACTTTAAACAGCAGTGTCTGAGAGCAAGATTTGCTATATAAACAGCAGCCATTTGTAAAATAGAGTGGCTTCCCCCTGAATCTGGCGCTAAAAGCTTATGAAAATAAAACTTAGACAAGATGCTATAGTAAATGAGCATGGTTGCATCTGTTGGAAACATCGCTAGTCTTCATTTATTACGGAAAAGTTTTAATTCAATTGTTTAAAAACAGGTACATAAATAAATCAAGGAAACATTTTTGAATTTTTTAATACATAAATCCTCCTCAAAATGTGAAATAATTATTAAAATTTAAGGAGTCACCTGTTTTTCACATTACAAATCGCGGGCGATTTTACGTACCCAAAACGATAGATTACCTAAAATTATTAATATTAAATTTATTGGTAATCTGGTAAAAAATAGTAAAATCTTACTTTAACTTCGGAAAATGGACATTAGATCTAGCGAGAAAAGTCTCAAACAAAGGTAGAGATCTAGAAATCTAGATCTAGATATCTAGATCTATTTACTATTTGACTAAATTAGTTATTAAATTGTAAAGGCATTTGATTGGGGTGTGGGGAAATTGCGAAAAGCGAAATGGCGAGGCGGGAAAATGCGAGAAGGGCGCGAAAACGGTCGGTCACGTGACTTTTATGTCTCGCATTTTACCACAAGCCGATACTTACGCTGGGTGGTGTTGAAATGCGAAGATTTCTGCGAAAAATTTACTGCACCCGATTTTCAGTGGTATTTGGTCTAGACTTCAAAGACGTTTCGTTTACATTGTTAAAACTTCCGATTTTTCCGTCGCTAGACATACTGATGATTTGTCAACTCCCCCCATCTTTTGTGTCGACTTAGAATACCACCTTGTTTGAAACCGACGGAAATACCGCCAACGGTAGATCAACTTCTGTCTTTTGTGTGGAACGCCGAGGCCGCCTGATTTACCGTCTTTGAAGATCACCGTGCCCGGATCCGCTGCAAACATATTTTCTATTGTTGCATAGAAATTTTGTATTATAGCCGCCACCTACGATTTTTTTCTAGCTTTTTTTACCATATAAATCTTAGCACAAGGAAATGCCTACATCATTTGGATACAACTATTCTGGAAGTAAGAACTACTTACTGTGTGTTTTCTCTTCCAATGTTCCTTTACACTAATTTATATTAGATTTTATATCACGGTTGTGACTTTTCCGAATTTTCCCATAAATGTTATATTATTATTTATTAATTAATTGTAAATATATATATATATATATATATATATATATATATATATATATATATATATATATATATATATATATATATATATAATTTATTATTTATTATTTCCATAAATAAGTCAGAAAAAATAACATCAAATTAAGTATGCGATTACTGCCCTATGTGAAGGTGAGGACTAGATTAACCCTCCCTTATGTGTTGCTTATTCCTAAGCTTTTATGAACTCTCAATGCCCCCAGTTTTTTTTCTCTTACTTACTGTTTGGGGAAAAATAAAGTGACGTCACCGATATTATCAGTTGCTCGTGCTATATCGTAAGCTATGGGCCTACTTCAAATATTTTTAAAACCAAGTTGAACTTATCTGAATTTTTTGGTTTTGGTGGTGGTGTTATTTGGGGTCTTCCATAAATGACGTCACACTCGTATGGGGGGGGGGTCTGAAATTTTATGACGATGTGTGATGAGAGGGAGGAGGGGGGGGGGGGTTAGATGTGAAGTCACACTATAAAAAAGCAATGTAAGATGTAAGATGATGTCACGAGGTGTGTTTGAGGACTGTTTCAGAAGATTTTGTTTGTAAATTTTGTTTGTAATAAAAATTACTTAATAAATAAATAAATTGCACTTTTTAGAATTGTTTATACTTTTACACTTTTTGCAAGTACAAAAATCCATAAATAGATGTTGCAAAATATCTCTCCTGCTGACAAGATTATACCAATTCACAATGACACAGCTCACGTTTGTATAAACATGAGCGGGCTAGATTTTTAAATTAATGCCGACTGAGACGGGATTTTCCTCTCGCTAACAAGAGCGGGCGATGACAGTAGCACAGCAACGATGTTAGGATTTTTAATTAGATAGATCTAGATATAGATCTATCTATCTTCTTAGTATCTAGATAAAAAATAACAACATACAACACTCGTGTTAAAGGGTATGGCTAAATGCTTGTTTATTTTAAAACAAAAAAAAATAATTTAAATAAATAAAGATGGAAAAAAAAAGAAAAAAACTTTTTTTCGCGAAAAGTGTCTCGCTATTTACCCTTAATTCCGCAGGTATGTCTCGCATTACCTTCTCGCATTTTCCCGCCTCGCCATTTCGCTTTTCGCGTCTCGCAATTTCCCCACACCCATTTGATTGTCGCTTGAGCCAGTAATTATTTCTTTTTGGGAAACATTAATCTTTTTAATTGCATCTGATGTTGTATTCAGATTCAGAATCAATCTCACAAAGTGCAGTCTTGAATACAACCTTCGTTAGCACACACATTAGTTTAATAATTTAATAAATTAATATGTTTTGTTGAAAATCTTGGTTAGGTTTTCCCTGAAGTTGTCTAGGGTATCTTCTTCTGTGTTAACTAAAGGTCTATTTGCTCCAATTTAATCCAGGAAATCTAAAAAAATAAAAATGGACACAAAATGTTTATACCCAGAATTTTCTATTATAATCTAAAAAATATAAATAAATAATTGTTAGGCCTACTAAATATTGTAGCCAGTAAATCTGTAACTACTTTGTGTACTTATTGATAAAACAAAATTTAACACTGATGTGACATGACACCAATTCTATTAAAAAATAACTAACCCTATGGACCATTTTATTAATTTTTATGCACTATTAGTATGAATTGAATAATATATAGTATTGTCTATGCCTGCATTAAAAAGCCTAAAGTTATAGGCCTATAGTCTAGTATAGTATTTACAACCCCTAGTCTTAGACTACTTAAACAAGCCTACAAGTCTACATGATCTGGTTTTTACTAGGCTACTAGCAAGTAGACTACTACTTAACTTACAATTTACTTCTTAGATCTAGATTTATTAGTATTAGTAGCTAATACAGGGGCGTAGCGAGGGGGGGGGGGCGGGGGGTGCGGACCGCACCGGGTGACACCATTTAGGGGGGTGACACCAAGGCAAAAAATAGCAAAATATATAGAGAAAAAAAAAACTTGAGGGGGGGGGGGGGGGGGTGCAAATCGAAAGTTTGAGGGGGGGGGTGCAAATCAAAAACTTGAGGGGGGGGTGCAAATTGAAAGTTTGAGGGGTGGGGGTGCAAATCGAAAACATGAAAGTTTGTCCCCGGGAAGGGTCGCAACGCCTCTGGGGGGGGGGGGAGTGACACCATTAAGTGCCGCACCGGGTGACACCCGACCTCCTCGCTACGCCACTGAGCTAATAGTCTATTAGATCTAGAATCTAGTCTAGAATCTCTAGATCAACTCGCAACTAGTAGTAAAGTAGACATCTACACTAACTAGTAGTAGCAATTAACATAGCACCTAGCTGTTGCTAGTAGCTAAGCTAGTGTCTTCCTTTTATGATCACCAAGGTATAAACTATCTGGCAAACTAAATTCAAATTTAAATTTGTAGCTAATTTAAAACTATTTTTTATGTGTCTAAAGCTTACAGAAGTATAATAAAATTAACATTTCTAAAAACTATTTAAATTAAAAAACTTTTGTTCCCTAATTTACTACTCCCTTGGAAAGTACATCAAATATAAGTTAATATAATGCATGTTGAAAGTCTATTTTAATATACAACTTTATATTTTGAGTGGCTAGATAAGTACAAAATAACAAATGTCCAATTCACAAATCTTATCCCAGTGTTTATGTATATCAAACCAAGTGTTTCATTTGTGCAATAGTTAAATGAAATATATTAGTTTCTTATATTATTTTCTTAACTGATTTCTAATTGGAGCATTTTTGGACATTGGCTTTGTAATCAATCAAGTTTTTATGTATCAGTTTCTACAGTCAGCTCTGTAAAGTTTCCATGTGCATGTGGATTGTTCATAACAAATAAGTTTTTTATTCTGCTTTTTCCTTGAAATATCTTTTTTTTTCTATTTTAGCTGTCTATCTACACTTACAAGAATGGAAGAAGGAAAAAACATTCCATCATGGTTTGAAAATAAATCGCATGAGGAAATAAATTCAAATAGCTTTAATTTGGAGGAAATAAAGCCAAATGTATCAAACTCATTTTCGAAATTAGTGGATATGAAAGCAGTTTCAACATTTTCAACTCTTGTAGACATAAAGCAAGATGTTTCAACTATTGAGGACATGAAACCAGGTTTTCCATCTTGTGTGGACATAAAACCAGGCGTTTCAACTATTGTGGACATGAAACCAGGTGTTTCAACTTTTGTGGACATAAAACCAGGCATTTCAACTTTTGTGGACATGAAACCAGGTGTTTCCACTTTTGTGGACATAAAACCAGGTGTTTCAACTATTGATGACACGAAGTTAGGTGTTTCAACTATTGATGACATGAAACCAGGTGTTTCAACTTTAGTAAATACAGAAAGTAATAAACCAGATGATTCAACAGGACAGCTCAGCAATTCAATAGATTCATCTATTTGTAGTGAAAAAGTAACTTATATAAAATCAGAGATTTACAGTGATTTAGAGGAATTAAAATTAATGCATATAAAGTCTTTAGAAGTATTAAATTTAAATAACAGAAGTTGTTCTGAAGTTAAACAGCATAAATGTAATATTTGTCATAAAAACTTTTCCAAAAAAAAATATTTATCTCAGCATCAAATAATTAATTCTGTAATTAAGGAATACAAGTGTGATATTTGTCATAAAATGTATTATCACAAGTGTACTTTAGCAAAACATAAAAGTTTTCATTCTGTAGTTGAGAAACATGAGTGTGATATTTGCCATAAAAAATATTCTCGGAAATCTGGTTTAACTCAACATAAAGTAATTCATTCTGAAATTAAGGAGTATGAGTGTGATATTTGTCATAAAATGTATTATCGCAAGAGTACTTTAGCAAAACATAAAATTATTCATTCTAGGGTTAAGGAGTATGAGTGTGATATTTGTCATAAAAATTTCTTTCTGAAAGCTGATTTATCTCAGCATAAAATTATTCATTCTCAAATTAAGGAGTATGATTGTGATATATGTCATAAACTGTTTTCTAGCAAGGGTAATTTAAAAAAACATAAAGTTATTCATTCTGGAGTTAAGGAACATGAGTGTAATATTTGTCTTAAAAAATTTTCCCAGAAAAGTAGTTTATCTATGCATAAAGTTATTCATTCTGGAATTAAGGAGTATGAGTGTGAAGTGTGTCATAAAATGTTTTCTAGCAGGAGTGATTTAAACAAACATAAAATTATTCATTCTGGAGTTAAGGAACATGAGTGTAATATTTGTCTTAAAAAATTTTCCCGGAAAAGTAGTTTATCTATGCATAAAGTTATTCATTCTAGAATTAAGGAGTACGAGTGTGAAATATGTCTTAAAATTTTTTCTTGTAGGAGCTATTTAAGAAAACATAAAATTATTCATTCAAGAATATAAGTGATATTAATTTTGTCATCTCATATTTTCTCTGAAGTCTCATTTGACATAAAATTATTTATTCTAGAGAAAAATCATATGATTGTAACATATGTTTTTAAAAAGTTTCACATAAGACTTTACAGAATTCAGCATTAAATTATTTGCTCTGGGCAAAAAGAATCATGAAAAATCCATTCTTTAGAAAAAGTTCTGTCGGAAGTGTAAATTAACACACCATAAAAATGTTAACTCTTGCATAATGGCTGGGATTGTTTATTAATTTTTAATTCACTTTCTGTTTTTAAACTATAAGCTCTTCTCCCCTCTACCATTTTATTTCTGAACCTAAAATAAAATTTTGAAATCTTTCCAAAATGTGACTGTATTATTCCATCATTAATTTTAAAAATTAAAACTCATCAAATTTCAGTTATTTTAGTTGATCCCATTGTCTGTCACATGTACTTAAAGGTTAAAATAACAATTAATCTCTTTTGTGTTCAAGACTTGCAATTAAAAAAAAATATCATGTTCAATTTTAATAGATCAGGCATTAAAATTTAAATCAAGAGTAAATAGAAATAGTTTCATGGAGAAAAAATATATTTTAAAATTTTGATTTTGTGAAATAGAAAAAAAATGTGTGTTTTTAAAATACAGTTAAAATGGACTTTCCTTGTTTTTTAAGAGTAATAGTAAACTCTTTTATTAAGATATTAACTTTATCAAGCTATTCATTATTACAATAATGGTGTGAGAGTGCTGTTTTACGACACATTATTTCTGCGTAAAGCAAAGTGAGTCTGGTCTAAAAAATTTCCTAAAAAAATTATTCATGGTTGGGTCACATCCCTGTTGATGTTGATAATAAATGTGTTATTTTTATGTTTCAAGTGACTCAATGTGTTTCTCCCATATTGATCTGCATACATATGCAGTTAATATTTTGTCAATGCATTTTACTAAGTTTGGTAGCTCTTCTTTTTCCTGCCATGCTGTAAAAATATATAGTCCCTTTATAGCTTTTTAAAGCATCTTACATTTTTTTCCTCAAGCAGATATTGAAGAGGGTGGTTAAAAGCAGACATTCCTGCCTCACCCCAACTCCGGTTTTTAAACTATCTATAATATAGCGCTGCTGGCAATGTGTCAGTCATCGCTATAGATTTTGTAACCATAAAAGTAAACATCGCACCATACAGTGCTTTTACATTGCACCACATTGTCTCATTGTAAGAAATAGAGTAGGGTTTGTTTGTATAAAAACTTTTTTCTAGCAGCCACAGTTTTTACACTTTCAAATAACGTAAAGAAAATATTAAATACATGCACATTGCTAAAACTTTTTAAACGGATCGATGTTAAATAATTTTCACTTAGATTCCTAGAAAAATTGGATACATTTTAATAACAGTAGGGTAAAAAAAAAGTAATTACTTAAAATATTTAATAATTATTCCAGGAGAATTAATTTTTTTAAAAATCCTATATTACTGTTGTAGTAAACTGTGCTTGTTGTTTGGTCATACTCATTTTGATTTACTTTAGTTTGATGTATGTTTAGTGGCCCAAAGTACATCATGCCATTCATTATCAAAAGCCTTCTTGAAGTTTATATTTAATAATTTTTGACACACTTCAAAAATAAACAAAAAAAAGATTGGTTAGAAATCTTAGGGAGTTTTCACACATTATTACAACCATCACTTCTAAACAGACCAAGAGCGTTCTGTCGCCCTAAGCTGAGAAGTGTTAATGTACAGTTGATTTACTGAAGTGTATTATCAAATTATTATTGTTCAAGTCGATTTACTGAAGTGTCATATCAAATTATTATTGTTCATTTTTCAATTTATTTCATTTAATCTCTTTACCATTGTAAATAAATTGTATTCGTAGTTGGTTATTGATTGGTTGTGTACAGTTTCAGTGTTTCTGTTTAATGTTAAATAATTGAGCCAAGCATTCTTACACATTTTGATCTGTATTTAGAATTAGATTTATTCACAATGTAAAGCAACACTGAAAATTAGTACAATACAAAGAAACTTTTAAATATTTTAAATATATGTTAATACAGAAATGCACTTAGTATATCACACATTTTAATTACATGTCATTTACTGTTAATATTCTAGTATGATGTGTCTCACTTCAAAAGCAGCTTAGTACAATATAAAGTATCATTTCAAACTTTATGGTCCATGTGGCAGGTAAAGTAGAGCTCACCTGTTTCAGTGACCTCGGTATATGAACGGTTAATGTTGTCAGCACTGTGCCCAGATATCTTTACTTTCTCTAACATTATTCAGCATCAGAACTCAAGATTTTCAGGTTAGCAGTCAAACGCTCTACCGTTCTGCCACAACATCATATAATAGTTACATGTATACCATACAACACCTCAACACAATTTAATTATAAATTTTAAAAATACTAATGTTCATGTGTATGTATGTACAAGGAAATTCAAATTTGATGTTTGAATTCCAAAATACTTATATATTTGATATCTATTACTCTCAGAAATTAAGTCACATATTCAAAACAATTATTTATTCCTCTATGATCCATAATTAATTATCCAAATTTCTCATTTATATAGTGATTTTTTGTTTGTATCAAACCCTGAATGGAAGTGCATTACCAATGACAATGGTTCAATCTATGTATGGGAAGTTTTATTTTTAAAGAAGATAAGATACTCAGTAGAGCTAAAGGTATTAACAATTGTATTTATATAAGGAGGACACTTGTCAGATAGTAGAGATTACTACTGCTAACCCAAAAGTGTAGTTTTGTTCACAGGTTTGAGACTGTCCCTGAGTTCAACCAGCTTTAATGGGTACCTGACTCATGACACGGAAAGTACAGACTGCTTGGCATAGTGCTGACAACACTATCTGTTCATATGCAGAGGTCATTGAAACAGGTTAACTCTACTTCATCTGCCCCATGTGTCTTAGGCACGAACAGGAAAAGATGATAATTTAAAAAGCACGATCTAAAATGACAATTGTATTTATTCGACAATTTAGAACACTATCTGTTTTACTACTATGGGGCAGAGTGGCCTAGCGTTAGAGAGCTGGACTGCTAACCTGTAAGTCTTGAGTTGGATCTGGAATCCGGGTTCAAGTCAGTAGATCATCCCTGAATCCACTCAGCTCTGATGGGTAAGTTAGAGTAAGTAAAGGCGGCTGGGCATAGTGCCGACCACACTTTCCCTTCAGAAACAAGTGAACTCTACTTCACTAGCCCCATAGACCGTCAGGTTTGAAAGAGAACTTTACTTAACTGTTTTACTACTACCAGCAATTTAAATATGTATAGGTTACATGGTATACAACTTTATTTTAATATGTAGCAGAGTTTGAGTTGTGTGTTTATGAGTGGCATGTATTTATATTGGTATTTTTTTTAGTCAGTTTAGGTTTAGTATGCCTGGGTTAGTGACTTGTATTTAGTTTGTTTTCAAGTTGATGTGATTGTTACCCAAAGGTTAAATTATTTAGTTTGTTTTCAAGTTGATGTGAATTGTTACCCAAAGGTTAAATTATTTAGTTTGTTTTCAAGTTGATGTGAATTGTTACCCAAAGGTTAAATTTATGTTTGAAGATAGTTGACAGATGGTGACAGCATGCTGATGACAGACGAAGGATGTACATGTCACTGTTTGCCTGATGATGTACATGTCACTGTTTGCCTGATGATGTACATGTCACTGTTTGCCTGATGATGTACATGTCACTGTTTGCCTGATGATGTACATGTCACTGTTTGCCTGATGATGTACATATCACTGTTTGCCTTATGATGTACATATCACTGTTTGCCTGATGATGTACATGTCACTGTTTGCCTGATGATGTACATATCACTGTTTGCCTTATGATGTACATATTACTTTTTGCCGGATGATGTACATATCACTGTTTACCTGAGAATGTACATATCACTGTTAGCTGATGATGTACATATCACTGTTTGCCTGATGATGTACCCATCACTGTTTGCCTTATGATGTACATATTACTTTTTGCCTGATGATGTACATATCACTGTTTGCCTTATGATGTACATATCACTGTTTGCCTGATGATGTACATGTCACTGTTTGCCTTATGATGTACATGTCACTGTTTGCCTTATGATGTACATGTCACTGTTTGCCTGATGATGTACATATCACTTTTTGCCTGATGATGTACATATCACTGTTTGCCTGATGATGTACATATCACTGTCTGCCTGAGAATGTACATATCACTGTTTGCCTGATAATGTACATATCACTGTTTGCCTGAGAATGTACCTGTCTATGATTACCAGATAGTACATGTAACTGTTTGTCACTGCATGTCTGACCTTAATACAGGTACCCTGACTGAGTTGTTTGTGAGTAGTTTAGTTTAATTGTTTAGAGGGTTGATTGAGAATCAAGTTATAAATTACTTTGTTTTAAGTTTTAACTAAGCACCACAAATGTCACTATTTAAATAGGTATAATCTAGTAAATGAAAATACATTTTGGATTGTCTTGTGTTTTATTTCATTTAGTGTGATTGGTTATAAACACCTCTGTTCCCCATGAATGTTTATAAACACCCCTGCTCACCTTGAATGGTTGTAAACACCTCTGTCCTTTGAATGGTTGTAAACACCTGTGTTCTCCTTGAATAGTTATAACACCTCTGTGTTTATAAATAGAATGATACATTAACTAGCCAACACATTTTTAATACAGAGTTGCTCTTAGTATATCGCCCATTTTATTACATTTGTCATTTACAATAAATAATCGAAGGTGATGTGAGGCCCTACATTCACAGACAGCTTAACACAATATAAAGAGTTATATGTAAATCAGACTATACATAGAATCCAAATTTGGATGCTTGTGTTCACACACATTTTTTGATAGTTATCTAAATTCCAAATTCTTTTTTTTTAATTATTTATTACACTCACAAGGTAAGTAAATATTTCTTAAAACAGCAAAACAAAACTTGTATTTATATTTTACAAGATTTTTTTATCATAAGTTAGACAAAAAAAATCGTTCTGAAAAAAATACATGAATGTTGTAGATTCTATTTATCATAAAAAGCTTTCTAGGAAAGAGAATTCAAAAAGCCACAAAATTATTCATACTGGAGAAAAACACATGAATGTAATTGTCATAAAAAATTATATTTTAAGTTAACTTTATGTAAGCATAAAAGTATTCGTTCTAAAATAAAGCTACATGAATACAATTTTTGTCGTGAAAATTTTTCTCAAATAAACGTGACTTCATTGATGAACGACGGGTGCTTAAAATAAACCCAGAACTTGCTTGGCATAAACGCTTTAGAATTAAGTAAACAGACCACACATTTTAAGACAGTTTTATTTACTTAGCAATTCAAACTCCTTTAATGCGTATTGAATTTAATTTCCTTTTATTGTTAATCAAAATATACTTAAAATTTCAGTTTTAAAAAGTTAAGTTACTTGATATTGATACATTTGAAATACCACGAACTTATTATCAGAGGCGTAGCGAGGGGGGGGGGGGGGGGCGGGGACATATGTCCCCGGGCGCCGACCTTAGGGGGGGCGCCAAATTGAAAGTTTGAGGGGGGGGGGTGCAAATCGAAAATTTGCTCCCGAGGGGGGCGCCAAATTGAAAGTATGTCCCCGGGCGCCGGGAAGGGTCGCTACGCCTCTGCTTATTATACTTTTAGTAACAAGTCCATAGAAAAATACCCAAGAACTACATATTCATGTCGCACTAAGGAAAAAAAGCTTTAGATATCATTGCAATAGACTTTTATGTTAAAGAAAAACATTTAAAAGAAAGTAATTTTTCTCCTCCAATTTAGTGCATTGTTACAAAAAAGCTTATTTAAAAAATAAAAAAAAGTTTTATGCATTTTATCAGTACTTTAAATTTTTTAGTATATATATATAAATAACATTGCATGACTAAAATAACGTGCGAATTAAATAAACACGAAAAATGTGAGTATAATTAATAGCGCGGTACATAGTACTCTATGGATTTAATTCTATATAAAATTACTAAACATGCAATTGATCTAAATTTGATGTCAGATTGAATGATAATCAAGCCTTGACTCAATTGCTAAGTTTCAAAGAAATTGGTCGGTTAGACGTGGTCTTTTCGACCCATAACAGATAAAAGCAAGAAGAAGCTAATTTTAATTTTTTTTTTTTTTATCAATTGTAATTGTTGCATTTTGGTTACTCTTGGTATTTTAAAATCTCGAATAGAGGCCTGGAAACAAATAATCGCATTGTTTTTGTTACCAATGGGAATCATGTTCAAAACTATTATTTTCTTTAGAAAATGTATATCTCACCCTGGTTAATGAGATTTCGAATTTTAAGCGAGATTGACAGAGACTTACAAGCCCAATTATGCCTACTACTTAAGGTTATCGGAAATCACGAAAAAAGTTGACCGAAAAATGATATTTTCTTTTACTATATATACGTATATATTATATTGTGTCCATGCTTAATTGCTTAATTAACGAATGCCACGTTTCTATACAAATATGACCAAACAACTGCACGTCTTAGTCCTGATCTATCCCACTATAATTCAATCCATCTGAGTTAGCCCCACAGTGTGGGTGATTAAGTCGATCCCACCCCAGTCTGTAGACCCCTGCCCCACTGCTGCCTTGACAGCAGGGGCGGAACTACAGTGCCGCCAGACCCCGCAGTGCGGGGGGGCCCGGGGCAGTTTAGGGGCCCACATCCGACCGACCTTAATTTATATATATATTTGGTAGAGGTGTAGCAAGGGGGGGGGGTGCAAATGGAAAGTTTGAGGGGGGGGGTGCAAATCGAAAGTTTGAGGGGGGGGGTGTAAATCGAAAATTTGAGGGGGGGGTGCAAATCGAAAGTTTGAGGGGTGGGGGGTGCAAATCGAAAGTTTGAGGGGGGGTGCAAATCGAAAGTTTGAGGAGGGGGGGGGTGCAAATCGAATGTTTGTCCCCGGTCGACGGGAAGGGTCGCTACGCCTCCGACATATGGGGGCCCAAAAGAATTTTTTGCGGGGTGGCCCTATTTTTCTAGTTCCGCCACTGCTTGACAGGTGCAAGATGTGTACGTGTACCTGGTGCCGTAGGTTCCTACCTTCTGCCTGTGTACCCAGTGACCTATAGACACCTGCTTAGAACACCCGTGAGGATGTGACACTATAATGGTCAGCTTGTCCACATCTCGGCGACTTTTATACTTTTCACTTACTTCACAACACAAACTATCAAACTGCCCTACCATCTCCTCCAGTTTCTCACCTACACTTAAGTCGTGTGTCACACAATACAGATCGCACCAGTCCTCCTTAACGCTTGTTCCTCCTATCCCCCAGCCATGAATGATGACCTTAGGACAACTATCCTCATCAAACCATAATCTACAGCTCGTTTGTTTCGCCTCACTCAAATCGTAAACCACATGTCTGGATGTCACCACAACAATGTTGGACCACTCTTTTCTGGGTGTGTCCGATTTGTCACATTCAGGACACGGGCAGGTCCTGTAATCGTCCTCTCCTTCTGTGTACTTATATGCATTCCACACCCTTCCAGTTCCTATCCTCAGTGAGTCCTCTCCCTTAGTGTCTGAGCATGGATATGGATCTTCAGTGCCTGGTACAAGCTCTGGTCTCTCCAGACTGGTGAACTTAACGGCTATCCTGACGGTTAGATCAGCCAAAGCTTTTGTGAGTTGATACACATCATTGTAACCAGAAGGAAAGTGGTCAATGGTTAACTGATTTATAGACACATATTCAGCATGAGATTTCTTACAGCTGTTCTTGTGGCGATCCAAATGTGACTCATATTGACCTTCCGGGCAGCTCAGCACTTCATGAGTACCTGCACAATTTATTAATTTTAATCATTTTATTATCTGGTGATTTTTTACATAAATTCTAAAATTTCTATATTTTTTTTCTTAAGTGTTTCTTTAAGGCATTTTTCGTACAAAATGGTCGGACTCTGGTTAAAGTACATATTGTGTATATACATTATATGTTTCTTAATTTCTTCCAGGGAGAAGAGTGGCAGTCAATGTATTCTTGGGGAGGCGGTGGGAAGGATTGTCATAGTGAACCGACACTAAAACTACAACAGCACCAAATAATTTCAGCAGTTTTAGCGATGATAAATCTAATTTATTATTTTCTACATAAAGTATAATATGACAGTACCTGTAAAATATTTTGACATTTCTTCTTCACTTGCAACACTGTTGTGGTCATGTAAAGTGTCGTCTTTATTTGCCATTCTATCCCTGGAAATAAAAAAAATTGAATAAATCATACATATAGGCATATATATATATATATATATATATATATATATATATATATATATATATATTCAAATATATAAATAACAATAAGATTGAATGCATATGCGAGAAAAGTGTAAAGAATAGTATAGAGGTCGTCCATAAATGACGTCACACTCGTGGATGGGGAGGGGGGTGGGGTGGGTCAGTAATTTTTTGACGGAGTGTGAATGGGGGAGGTGGGTTCAGATGGTGTGCTGTCACACTTTTGCATTATAAAATAAGCAATGTTAGAAAACGAGATTTAGTCGTTATTTGACGTTTTAGAAAACTGTTTTAATAAATTGTAATATGAAGTGATTAAAAAACTATATGTTGAGTGAGTTCAGACAAGATTTTGTAAAAATTAAGAAAAATTCAACTGCAATTTTAGGGGGGTCTGGTTTTTTTGTGACGATGTGTGACGGAGGGGAGGAGGTAAAAATCGCCAAAAAATGCGTGACACCATTGATGGATGACCCCCATAGTAAACATATTATCACTTTATTGATTTGGTAGACCACAACCAGGTTATATCGTAGTCCTAGAAACATTGAGAATGTTAATTTTTTTAACAGTTTGGTTTAACATGTTGTAAATAGTTAACATTTACCTAATCCGAAGTATGGTTGGAGCTAAAATCTAGAGCTTAACTAAAACCTGTTCTTTAATTCAAATAGGATAACTGTTACTGAAATAAACCTTGTCTGTGCAAGTCTCACTCTATTAATAGTATCAATACGTCATTTTATAAACCCGTTCTGATATGTGTGTAATTTTAAAAATTCCCGTTTGTCCTCTGTACGTCAGTTACTTCCCTTTTGTTTCGCCTATTTAAAATTTCTATTTAAAAAAACAGCCATATTTTTACCCCACGGAATTATTGAATTTTTCTAAGAACCATATAAAACAAAACGGTGTCTGATTATGGGGATATAAATTCTGACATTGATTAAAAAATCGATTAATTCTTTAAACCAATGCAAAAATAGCTTATTACGCATGTAATTATTTAATATAAAAACGTAACTAATATAAGATTGGAATTTTTATTTGTAATTGAAATTAGCTCAACTGACCAACAAATCCCAGTACTTCAAAGAGTGTCCTCCTGTAGCGTTATTGATCAGTCGAACTGAAGATTACATAACTTGCTTTTCTTGAGAGTGAGAATGTTTAAATGAAACTTACCAGTCTTTAAAAAGCAATGATTTTAAATATTACAAAGTCTACTTTAACTGTTTTTTTTTTGCTTTTTAAAAAAAAATATATTAGTATCATGTTTATTTAAAAAAAAAATTAATATCAAGTTTATATATTGTATACATGTCTTTACATTGAATTTTAAGACTAGACTGCAAATTTATTTAAAAATAGAGAGTGATTTATAATATTAACTTTCATTTTAGAGACTACTTGTGGATAAGTCAACTTGAAAAAACATAATAAACATCCCTGTATTATTTATACTTGGGTGTAGGACATTACCTCACCCCCGTCAATTACCCCCAGACATTCCCCTAACAGTCATTAACCTCTGTCACTTATCCCCAGCTCCTGTATTGTGAAGAACACTGACTCTAAACATAACCCCAAAGCCAACCACAAACCAATAGCTAACCATAATCCCAGCATGAACCTTAACCCAATCTTTTAACCTACATTTAACATTAACACAAACCATAACCATTTTCGTAACATTGCCTTCAACCATTATCTAACCGTAACCCTAATCCCATAACCCAACCACTAACCTATATCTAACTATAACCTGTTAATTTAAAATACTTTAGTACTATATTATGAAAACAAACAAGTAATAATAACTATATATATATATATATATATATAAGAAACGGGAGGGGCTGGTTGGTAATTTATATCACAAGAAAATTAATTCAAGTCCGAAAATGTTTTACTTTAATTTTGAAGCAAACTTTGTTTTTAATTACAACACGCAACATTATTTTAATGTATATTTTTACTTTCTCGTATATACGTAGTATAGAAAAAGTATTGTAATCGTGCAAAAAAAAAAATCGAGATTTTTACAAATCTCGACGTTTTACACCTCACTGATACGGAAAAACATAATTTTGCAATCTTGTCCGTATGTCTGTGTGTGTGTGTGTATGTGTGTGTGTCTGTCCGTGTATAAACACGATAACTTGAGTACCGTTACAGCTAGGTTGATGAAATTTCATATATAAGTATTTTATCAAAATCGTAGATCCGTATCAACTTTTGAGCGATTTCCGATAACCGGAAGTGGTACTTTTCCTACTTTGAATTTTTTAAAAGCCTATAACTTGAGTACTATTTCAGATAGATAAATGAAATTTCACATGTAAGTAAAAGATCTAATTCTCTACCTTCTGTTAAATTTTGAGTAATTTCCGTTGACTGGAAGTAGTAATTTACGCTACTTCCGATTTCTCAAAAAACTAATGTAAATTTTAAAAGTACTAATAATATTGCGCACTATTATGCGCTTTTTTTATTTGCGTTCACTTGGTGTGCAATTAATTTGTCTACGAGATTTTATTCTATTTTTAAAACTTTAAGTATTTAAAATGGATTAAAAATCATGTCTATAGCCCGAGTTTCCATCCCCTGTTATTTTATATAAGAATATTCGAGAAAGTTTAGGGGAGATCACTCCCGGTTTATTTTTTAAAAAGAAAAGAAGAAGAATAAAGAAAAGAAAAAAAAAACACCAGCCGCTTTTCTCTTAGAAAATTAATGAACAGTGAGTGCTTTGGATTAAAAATATGGTGTCTAATTTTTAGACATTAAAGTAAAACATGCAATGTACGAATGTAGAAAAACAAAATTAATAAAAATTATAAACCCAAAAAAGCAGCTGCTCTTAATAATGTGAAACAAGAACAAATTAGGTTACTTTTAAATTTCAACAGACAAAAAGTAGGCCTATACAATTAGAACTATGAATCAAAGTATTTTATTAATCATACTCTTTGAGTGTAAAATATATTTTTACAAATAATTATGTTTGCGTGAATGAAGCAACTGGTGTGCGACTGGTCAATATTTTTATCTCCATTGCTTTATCAATCATGTACCTGATTATTGAGTGATTTATAAAGTTATGTAGTGAACGGTGGGTGTTAGAATGTCTGATTTTGTGAGTTCTCCATAGAATAAGATCA